TAGCCAGCACGCTTGTGAGGGAGATAGACCTATAGTTGTCAAAGTTGCTAGGGTCTTTGCCCTTTTTTAGTACTGGTATTACTATGGCAACTTTCCATTGGTTAGGTACGAGACTGGTCTCCCAGATTTTGTTGAAAAGCGTCAGCATGATTTCCTTAGCTTTGGGTCCCATTCTAATTAGAAATTCTGGATGAATACCGTCTTCGCCAGGTTACTTCTTGCACTTGAGCAGTTTTATCGCAGCATTAAGTTCGCAAGGTCTGAATGGTTCAGTTAGTACATTATTTGGTGTTGCGTATCGCTTTATTTTTAGTTCCTCAAGTTATTCGGACCAAAACACTCGATAGTGTTTAGTCTTACCTCGGGGAATAGTTTTCTTTGCACATCTGATCTTAATATTAGAGATATCAGTGCAAAGTTTGTCATGATGTTGGTTGAAGTTGAGGGGACTTGAATGAAGTTCATTCTCTGAAATGTTAGTGAATCTTGAGCAGTCAGCCTTCTTGAAGTTCCATGAGAGCTTTGTTGACACTTTCCTTGTCTTGCTTTTGCCGCCGATGTTAATACTAGCAATGACTGGTTTGTGACCGGATCCAGGATCGTCAATTATTTTGCAGCGTGTATGCTCACTGATGTCGCTTGAAGCCAAGAGTAAATCAGGTGTTGTTCTGGTTCCATTGTAGTGCGAATATGTAGCCGGATCCTCATTGCTGTAAATAAGTTCCAGAGAGTTTTTTTAAGCATGTCTTCGATTTCCTTTCCAGCTAATTTTGTACCCTTGTAGCCCCATCTGGTGGAATGGGTGTTGAAGTCTCCTAATACTGTAGTTTTGTGTGAGATGTTCAGAAAGTCAAAGTTGGACAATTCTGGGGTGGATTATAGAGGAGGAACATCAAAGTGAGAAGAATTCAGGAGGGAGAATAGAAGGGTGTTTCAAAGATGTAAAAGAAACAGACACAAAGGGTCAGAAAGGGTAAGATGAGTAGTGGTAGGGGTCGAATATGACATACAGTGGGGGTGATGGTTGTTTGAAGTGAGAAGTCAACTGCCGAATAAAAGACTTTTTGCCGTACGAAGATACGTTGTCCAGGGTGCACCACGTGGAGGTAAGTCTATCGCGCATCCCATGCTTTGGAAATAATAAAGTTCTAATTGAATGCCATAATTTAGACCACTCTGTGTATTTTTCATCACAATTTGACCATTCTTTACGAATCTGTGCCATTTTCAATTTTATAATTTCATTATGACAAGTTTGATGTGTCATTGTTTTAGCATCTTTCCCTCACATATCGATTTAACCAAATACAACTCATGACTAGAAAATTGGCGATTTAGCAACTGAATCACTGGGAATTCATGGTTGCGGTTTGCCAATGGAAATGACTACGCCAAGGAATCACTTTCCAATGCTTCCAAATATCCCGCTTGGCCAAGTTTTAGGCAAGTTTCAACTGTACAGACATTTTAACTAGAAATCAATATTAAAGTTTAAGTAAACAAGCTTTCAGTCACTAAATTTCTATGTAATTCAACATTTCTTGATTTTAATCTATACTTCAAAAATATGGCACAAAATTGTAACACTTGTAAACAGGTCATATAAATTTGATATTCACATTAGTCTTTGCTGTCAATCATTGGCTAATTGGGAGGGCATTTCATCTAATGTGACGAAATGACGTAAATAAACGAATATTTATGATAGAACAAGCCGTATTCAACTAAATACTTTACTGAACATAATTAAGTTCTAGTTATTGGAAATGAATACATTCCATTAGGAAAATTCATTTTTGTATGCAACAGAGTTTTCTATGTAAATAAGACAGTGTTCTGATCATAATTGTTAAAGAATGAGTCCACATTCTGTTCATCGAATTAATAAACATTAAAGGCAAAATATGGCTCACTTTGACATGTAAATGTAAAATTTCTTTCCTATCTCAACAATATATCCAAACTGTTCTTCCCAATCTTCAAAATTCTCATCAAGTCGCCATTTCAAAGCTCATTGCTTAGTTTAACCCACTTTTTGTTTCCGAGAATGTCTTATTTCGGTATTTTAGGGGAGTTTTACCTCTGAGTAGAAATTAGAAGTTTAGCTGAGAGGACAACTCACGAATTTGTACGAATAGGAGGGAGATTATTGTCCCAACAAAGTGAGTACTAAAAAGGGTTAACCATTCATTCTCTATTTCTCCGCAGGACTATCATGCTGGACATCACTCCGCATGAATTAATGTCTCCATTATGAAGGTAATTCTAATAATATTAATAAAATTAAATTAATGATGATTGCAAAATTTTATAAAAAACCCACGTGATTTAGTCGATAAACCTCTTAGTTAAAAAGATGGAGCTTATGGGAAGTTTCAGAAATTGGCAGCTGTTAAAAGGAATAAAAACAATGACTAATTTAAAAACAACTTAATATGAACCATTTCTCATGAGTTTTATAAATAGAATTTCGATTTTACATAAAAATGATCATGCTTATGTAATGGAAATATATTTCACGTAAAATAGAAATATTTTATGGTTCACTGGTCAAAGAAATTTCAAATGGTTTGGAAGGCGAAGAGGTGCTTTTGATCGCAGAGAGAAAGTTCATCGTGATATCAGCGATCTCTCAGCAGACCAGCTATCAATTGGCATTATTGTTTACTTTTGCATCGACTGCAAAGATAAGGCAGGCATTCTTCAGTTAGATTTTGCATTGAACAGGCGATACTGGCATAAGACTGTCGATTAAATAAGCCTTTCATTCTCTGTAAGAATGTGTTCAAGTCTTGGGTTACATGTTATGTCATTTTATTACATTAAACAAATCCAAAATGCAAATCAGCGACTCAGAAGTAGAAATGAAGTTATTTGAATAGTACTTACTTTGCTTTTGTAACCTAAGGCAAAAATCATCTATATAGATCCCTATTACTGAGAATTCGTGATAATTTGCTATTCTTGCAAACTGACGTATTCTAAATTCCGCTTATACATTATACGAGTCGCTTCAAAAGATGTTCTAAGCTCAGTCAACAATAACCTCCTTTTTGGTTTAGGATAGCCAAGCCATAACTGTGTCTCTTTCATAAACATCGGATCTCACTGAATAAAATGTTGACACACATTGTTAATGACGAGAATCCTCGTATCATTTTGTGCCCTCGAGATCTAATGTAATCTTGTGCAGATCATTAGCATAATCAATGCCTATAAGGTCAATAACTGATTCCTCTTTCGATTAATGATTTTCCTAAGACACAAGTAACCCATTTATTGCTTATGATAACTATTGGATTGAAAAATCGTCACTAGTGATTACTTTTTGGTGTTTTTTTCTACCTAAACTGAAGCTAGACATATCATTTTGATAAAACGTGGATTTAAAAAATGACCTTGTATATCATTTTTATAAGGGATATTTCACAATTGGAAGATAGTTTGTTCTGTGTAAGGTCATGCGCATTGTCCAATGGTGAGAAAATGGATTTTGGTTAATAATTTAAATTTATGAAATCACTTTAGTTCCATGCGGGATGTGCGATAGATTTATCTCCACGTGGTGCACCCTGGGCAACGTATACCCATACGGCAAAAAAGTATATCAATGGGCAGTTGATTTTTGACTTCAAACTACCATAACCCCACTGGATGTCACATTCTACCACTTCCACAGTTATCATCCTACCTTTTCTCTGCCTTTGTGTCTGTCTCTTTTACAACTCTAAATCACTCTTCTGTTCCCCACACCTCGTGGAAAGGCCAAGTTCCATCTCCTTCATGCATCCATTCATTCTTGCATGGATTCGTCTCTAAAATTGTAAGGCCAGGTCAACTATGGAGGTGATCAAAGTTGAGGACGTGAGATTATCATTGTAGTTTAACATGATTTGCTCTCCTTCATTGAATCTGCACCGACAAAGGAAAGCCCGCAGTCAACGAAGAAATGAGCATCTTGGCACATGTTAGTGAAAAGATGCTTTGCATCCATATTGATTGTTCAAATATTTCCTGTCTATATGAGGAATGATAACTGCTTTATTGTCCCTTGGAAACTTAAAAATTATTTATGATTTACCGACAGAAACAATTTGCATAAACTAAGTGCAATGCAATATTAGATTTGCTTGGAAAATCGTCTCACACATTCTAGACTGTCTATTTCTCGCTCCCATGAACCATCATATAGTACAAAAACCCCTTAAATATGGTAAATATGTCACCTGGTTTCAGATTCTTAGCCAAAACAACCAGCTAAGGGAAAATACAACTGCGGACAGTTATTTATTAATATTATTATTATTTCAGGAAGGGAAAGTTGTGGTATAGCCTAATATGATATCCTGGTGAAACTAAATTAGTGTGCTTCAGCAAGTTAAGTTAGATAAAATAGGCATTTGCCCAATGTGCTAACAGTTTATGCAGAGCAATAGCTTCATCTGAAATAAGTTTACCGTTGTGTATTCATTTGAAATAATCAAACAGAATTCAAATATGTTATGAACTAGGAAAATGAAAATCAAATGGCATTTTAATTAATGTGTTTCGCAATTACTAAGGCCATCATAGCGAGCACTTTCGAACATGAAACTGAAGTAGTCGACGACGTCGTTGTTCGGTTTGAACAGGAAGTTGAAACTTGTGGTGATTTGGTAGAAGTTTTACCGGGAGATTTAGTAACGCATAAGCCGTTATCACAAGCATTGTATCCAGAAGGACACATTGTACATTCTATGCCACTCATGTATGGTTTTTGCCCGTTAAAATTTCCTCTAAATTTAAAAAATTGTTCAAGTTGAAATTGCAGTTCTCGTTTATTAGTTAATAATAATATTGAGAACAACTACTTACGGAGGACTGTACTGACAGGCAACAAATAATGCGGAAGGATAGACATTTTCCCGAGCCACCAATGGAGAACATACTTTATATGCGCATCCTAGTTGAAGTGACTGTGCCCAAACGACCTAATAGGAAACAGTATTAACCATAGTGCACATCAATATGTAAATTACCTGCGTATAATGCCCGCAAACACCTTCACAATAATTGATTGCATAAGTATAATATTTCGTTTCGTTATACCACATCTCCACCATGCCATGCAAGTTAACTTCAATCTTAGTTGTCATTCCCAAATTTTGCCCTAAACCAGAATATTTTGGGTCTGTTCTCTCGGGATGCTTAAACTCACAACGATCAACCCATTCTTTGGCCAGTTTCTCCAAATTGGTGCTGTAAATCTGGTATAAAATTAAAGGTACAAAATTATTCAACATAAAATTAACTCGCAAGTTTAGAGCATTAAATTGTTAATTTACCATTTTCAGCATATCTGATGCTGACGGAGATACGCTGGAACGGAATTTGTTGTGAGAATCTAAAATCTCTTTTCTCTCTTCATCTTTCAGAGCCCACGAACAAGGCCACCCAAATAAAACAGCGATTACAAATACGCATATCATTTTCTGATTTAAATGTGCGAACAACTGGAATTGGAGCACAGTACATAAGTGATATTTCCAAATCATTTTATTACTTGTCTTAAATTACTTCAGCATATTAAAAATGTGTAAAATATTATTTGATATTTGATCAGTAGTGTGAATAAGTTTATTTTCATTGATAAAACGTACCGAAATAGAATTGAAATTACTTTGCTTCTAATTACTACTTTATTTAAATGCAGATTAAGTAGCCAATCAAATCAATTTTCAATCATCGAATTAAATCTAATAATACGTCAATTAAATACTTATGGTAGAAATGAGTTTTATAACAATAAAATAATCGAAGTTTCATCACCAAATGTTCTCATGAAATATCGGCAAAAATGATATTATTTAGTAAAAAAAATGAAATGGGGACACTTACTAGACGCATGTTTCCTGCACATATAATTTGTTTTAATATGAAATGTCAGCTTTGAGGAGCTCAAGTGCACATATTGATCTCTATAAGATATCAGCTCTTATTAAACCAGGGACTCAAGGCTTGTGGAAAAGAAAGTATTCAACGGCAATTCACAGAGATCAAATTTTGTTAAAATTGCTTCAATTCCTGAAAATAATTTATTCCTTAGGTTCAGTCGCTTTGTTTTTGCCTGTATACTTATATTCATTTTGTCATAAATGAATTTCTCCATTATAAAACAACGAATGAGCCAAATTCCGATATTATTGGAAGTAGAAATATTATTAAAAAATTAACATTTCTTTTAAAATTCTTCATAGGAAATGAAAGAGGGGAGAATTTTGGAAATTACAGCACTCAATATTTAACTTCAATCGGAGCCAACTTTTGAAGACATTGATGCACAGTCGATTCGATATATATATTTATATATGTGTGTGTGTGTTTGTGACACATTGAATGTCGTTATATTGCGGCAATTGTATTCAAACGAACCCTTTCTAAGATTTTCATTTCGAGTACAAAATGCTGGCTTTCCATCATTTTATGTTAAATGTTTGAGTTCGGTCTATAAAATAGATAGTGGCTTCATGTTTTTTTACAGAAAATGGAGAGGGATCTTTCATTACAAAGAGAATTCAAAAGTCAACACATGTTTTTATACTCTCTCATTGAAGGTCTTTACAACCAAAAAGAAAATAAGATTATAATTCATGCTTATTGTATTTTAAGTAAGGTATATTTAGTCTAGAGTAAGCAAATAACCTTATTGGTGGGATTATTGACTAATCTGTCTTATTGAAAGCCTTTATTAAATTTCATTCAGGTGTATAATTGATCGCAGTTATTTGTTCAATAAATAGTAATATTTTATTTATAGCAATGTGTCAAAGGGCTCCTCAGTATTAGGTCAATATCCGTAATGAAAACAGGTTAATGTCGCAAAAACGTAAACTTGCCTATCAAAGATACAGTCAGTTTGCATCCAATGGGAAATATTATTTTAGAACTTCGACCATTTATTTTAGAATTGTAAACGGTTGTTTGGTCTCTATTTATGTTTAAAACGCTTAGAAAAGGCGTGTTGGCATACTTTTGAAAAAGTGCAAGAATTAGAGATTCAATTTATAGCTTTAGTAAACATTTCCTTGGGTAAATGTTCCAACTCAATTAAGGGGGTATTCTGGCATAGAAATAAAAAAATCGATTTTCCTTTTTTCATATTTTCATAGTTTAACTATTTAAAAATATGTCTACGAGAGGATTTTCCAAAATTCAAATTATTTTCGGAGAAGTAAGTATTTTGCTGAGCAGGCATCCAAATCGGTTGGGCTGCAACTAATGGAACAAAAGTCATAATGGGTTCTCCGACTTCCTGAATCTATATTTCTTAGTAAGCCCTTTTGTTCCGTTATATATATTTTGATTGATTATTTCAATATTTTAAATAAAACAGATAAAAAATTCTCAGCGCGAAAGATTACGCGTCCAGAGCGACAAAAAGGTGATTTCACGGCAATAGATTTACCGAACAGTAAAACACCAGTCTTAAGAGTGCATCAGCAGCAAAATTGAGGAAATCAAATGATGAGTGCATCAGCAGCAAAATTGAGGAAATCAAATGATGAAGAAGTAATTATAGATAAAAATTACGCCTACTGTGTTTTGGAGTTTTTCACGGTCTTTACAGTAATTTCTTCGTTTATTTGGTGTACTACATACAACATATATATTTTCAAGAATGGCTCAACGCGGACTCGAGTTCAAAATTGCACTACATTACAGATTCAATAGTCTAGGCTACATTCCATCATGTCCCTTCGTTGACAAATCCTTCGAAGTTTATCATCAGAAGAGTTATTGATTCGATGTTTGGTTTCAAAAACTCAAAATAATAATGAGTCTCTAAACTCGCTGATATGGACTTTTGCTCCAAAGCATATCCATTCAGAGTCTCAGATCATTGAAATTGCAACATTTATTGTTGTGTGTATTTTAAATGAAAACTTTATACCGATATTGAAGATGATGACGTTTATGGGAGTGAAAATTGGTCTAGAAGCGTATGCATTTGCTATCAGACGAGACAACGCCTGGATTGACCGCTCCGAGATACGAGCATCCAGCGCATCAAAGGAGGCCAGAACTGTTCGATTAAAAAGCAAAGACGCCGAAAATAGTTTTTTCCAAGTCCAGGAAGGTCCGATGTATGCAGCAGGAATGGCAGATTGAATAAATGCAAGTTAAAATATAATTTTATGACTAAGACTGCAAAAAATTTTACTTGAAACTTAAAGCGCATTTTACTCAGATTTACTTGAAATCTTAAGAGAGTCTTCATTAGGGACTTGCCTATGTCCGGAAATACGGCCATCCCCAAATTTATATCCTTACTATTTCTAAAAAATCGAAGAATGTTCAAAAAAGTGGTACAAACTTTTTCTTTAGACAGTCGCCATTTTGTGAAAAAATATTTCTGTAACTTTACCGCAGTTCCAGATAGCGACATTATTATTTATTTATTTCAAATGGCAGGCGTTTTGATAGCTACCATTAGCCATTTAGCTGACTTCGGGCTTCAGTCATTAGCCATTTAGCTGACTTCGGGCTTCACAGAGGGAAGGTTCACCAAAGTAGAATAAAGGCGATGGGTGGGGAACAGAATTACATCAAAGTGAAAAAAAGTCGAGACTGGGGGGCGGGACGTCATCAAAGTAGCAGAAAGTCGAGAAAGGGGAGACAGACAGACACAAAGGTAGAGAAGGGGTCGAATATTACAAGCAGTCGGGCGATAGCTAACGGAATTTTAAATTTTTTTTACATTTTTATTTTATTTTGTATGCTTCTAATGTGAATAAATAATGCATAAAAAATTGATTTTAACAATATTGCTTGCTTCTTTTTTACAGCACTTCGAAATTGAC